TGGCATCCCAGGGTGCCCTTGCGCCTGGGTGGCTCCGTGGGCAGCTCGTACCTGCGGCGTTTATCTGTTTGCATCGCGCTTCCTGCGGCATCGTCGTCTTTCCGGCCGAGCCTGTGCTGACGGGTGAGCAGAGGTGCTAGGAGATGCCCGACCGTGGCGGGGGCGCAGGAAAACACCAGGCCCCCCGTTTCATCTTGCACACTCAGCAGCGGAAGTTTTTCGGCTCCCGCCTCCCAGCGCGCACTCTGCCCCCCACCAGGTGCCCTGTCTGAGCGCACGGTGCTCCCTGTGCTGGCGGTGGGAGCGAGGTTCTGCTCCTGCACAGGGACCTGTGCTAATGTCAGCACTCCTCGCCCCTGGCCGAGGCCTGGGGCCTCCTCTCAGCTCACCCCTCCCCCCCATTCAGAAAAGAATGTTGTCGCTATTGGTTATTGACTTTCTGTCTCCACTGATAATAGTCAGTCGATTTGGGGAGTGAGTTGGTAACCAAATGAATTCAAAACAAGCCCCAAACTATCTTTCCAGGTGTTTGCTTTTAAACAGACAGATCAGTTTGCTTCCTAATTTTCCTTTTCAGTTGACACATCATTTCTGACAGCAAAATCGTCACCTGGGAATAGAAATGTCCCCACACTTCCATTTACAAAGCAGCTTTTGCCTTAGCATCCGTTCCTTCAGGACACGGCGAGTGTATCCTTCCCGGGTAAACCTCTGTGTGAACAGGAAGTGACGTCATGCCCGGAATCCCTGGGCAGCAGCCCGGGGTCATCGGGTTTGGTGGTTACCGCTGGGCCCCAGCAGCGGACCTGTCCCTGAGCCGGGCAGGCACGTGGGTGAATCCCCGGGGAAACACCTGCGGAGGAAGAGCACCCCTGCGGGAGCCGGAGGGCGAGGCAGGTGGAAGCAGAAGCGTTTGAGTGGGGCTTTCACAACATCGCGGCTTCGGCTGACGCACACGTGCCTCAGTGCTGGTGCGGCTGTGCCGGTCACGGTTGCTTATAATGGACGGCGCCTAGTGTGGTGGGCTGGTTAGGTGGACGCGGCCGGTTTGTGTGGTGGGTCCCTGGCCCGGGAGACGGGGCTCTGACTCGTAGCTGGACCCGGGGAGGCCCTTGGATGAGAAGGGAAGAGTATTTTGTAACACCTCACGATAGGGGCTTCCCGACAACCCATCGAAAGCTGAAACCCACCTTCCGATTCTCAGTCCTCTCTCCCCGCCCCAGTGTCTCCACGGTGCCATCAGCCTTCATATACAGCAAACCAACAAGGAGAGCGTGGCCCGCGTGCGCTCCCCACCGGGCAGGTGTGCTCCTGAAGGCGCGTTTGTGGGCTGCGCTCTGTCCCTGGGAGCTAAACGTGCGCGGCATCAAGCCAGCCCACGAGGCACCGTTGGCCGAAGGGCATGCTGTGCGGGCAGAGGTGGTTTTGTGATCTGCTTTGCTCACTGGGCACATCGCAGCCGTCCCTGCTCACCGAGTGTCCTCCCCACACGGCCGTGCCGGCTGCTGCCGTCTCACTGAGTGGGCGCACGTGCAGCTGTGTGCCTTTCGCTGATATTTCTAGTTTCTTGCTAGAAACCTCTGTCTCAAGGCATCGGGCACGTGGATGAATTACAGGAAGGGAAATGCCAGGTTAAAAGTTGTGAACTGTATTAAGATTTTGTCTTCATTGCACAATTAATTTTATTGTCCTTTGAGAATGATAGCCCAATTTATTGCTAACAGGTATTATGGAATTTTTATTTATTTATTTATATTTTAGATCATACTTTTCTTTTTTTTTAATTTTATTTTTATTGTCTAAAGTTTTACATGTGTCTCCTTTTTCCCTGCTTGAGCCCCCCCCCCCGCCATTCCCACCCCGGGCAAGCCCCCACTGCCCC